TTTTTTTGCATCGCGATGCATGTTGCGATTTGGCTAATGCTGCTGATGACGTAACATTAGATATGCAATCTAAAAACACAGTCAAATTGCAACACTCAGCTCTGAGAGTAACCAGTATTGTTTACCTTGTCTAAAAATCACATTTTTGCTTTGGAGAAAAAAAACAAAAATGGATGTAATTCAGACTTTAATTAATAAAGTTTTATCGGTTTAAATTAGATTATTTGTTGGTGATTTTCTTTTTTTTTGATTTGATTGTTTGTCACTGGAATTTTAGTCCCCCCCCCCCCCCGAGATTCGTGGAAGTGTCATGGATAGAGGAGGGGAAAAAGAGAGAGAGTGTAGGGAGCTGCTGAGGGAGCCGAAAGCATAAAGGCCGTCACTGAGCACGGTCACCGTCACTGAGCACGGTCACCGTCACTGAGCACGGCCATCGTCACTTAGCACGGCCACCGTCACCGTCACTGAGCACGGCCACCGTCACCGGCACTTAGCACGGCCACTGTCACTTAGCACGGCCACCATCACCGGCACTTAGCACGGCCACTGTCACTTAGCACGGTCACTGTCACTGTCACTTCTAGCCTTGGGGGGGGGGGCACCTGTGGGATGAAGCGGCCACCTGCGGCTAGGATGTGTGCTCCATTTTGCTGGGGGCGTCTGTCCTGTGACGGGCCGTTTAGACCGGGAGGGGAGGGGCCACCCGTCTGCCACCTTTCAGCAGAACAGATGCGCGGCTCGTTAATCTGTTTTTATGGGTGTTTTGTCTCAGCCCTGGAGCTCGTCCGTCCGCGGAGTCACTTGTCGAATTGGAGATACTCTCCCCAGAATTTGGAAACAGAGCAGAGAGAGTGGGCCGTGTGCAGTGCATGCTGGGAGTGACATTCCTGCAGAATGAACCCTGAGCAGTAAATGAGATTTACACAAAGCTCCTTTCTCAAAATTGTCCAGCTTGCTCTCTCATTGCCTTGAAACTCAGAAGAAGAAAAAAAGCATGAAATGATACTGTATTTGCCATTTGCACAAGTACATTGGAATCCTTTTTTTGCGAATCCCATCTTGCAGTCCTTTGAGACACAAACAGGTGAGAGCGAAGCTTGGAGTTTGAGCTGTTAATGTGGCGTGTGGCTATTTTGCTGAGGATGGGATTCGAACTGGTGACCTTCTGATCCCCTAGGCCGCTGAGCCACAACCACCCCCCCGTGTGTCTCTATTTTAATTATTTTGCATGCCTTTGCAGCACAAGGTATTCTCAATGATGCTGTGAATTTGTAATGAGAGTCTGGGCAGAGCGCACAGACATAATGTGGCCTGAAAGCTCGTCCTTCGCCGTGTCCTCATCCGTCTAGCGCTGAGGGGGGGTCGGGCCGGGCAGCTCGACCTGCTTTCATCTGTGAGTCGTACGCAGGTTCATCTCACCGAGACACATCACTGACTGACACCTCCCTATTTCTGCTTCTTGCAGGTGGAGATTCACCTTTTACCTCTACATATTCACCTACGGAGTGCGCTTCCTGAAGAAGGTAAGGGGGGGGGGGCGATTGCCACCTCGAACTGCCTTGTCAGCTACGTTTTTAATTGTTATCATCTCTGACGTGAACATGGAATTACTTGAAGATCTTGTGCTGATGATGATGCTGAAAACTTCCAAGCTTCTCCTCTCAAGCGATCAGATTAGACGTCGGATTAACCGCCTTGCAGAAATTATTTCAAAGAACTCAGGGAGTTTTTTTTCCCCCCTCATGCTGTCATCTGTGGCTCTGACAGTTGGAGAGGAAGCTAGATTTTCATCTGAGTTGAGTCACCTAAAAGAGTGCATTAAAAAAATGATAGTGAGAAACTGAGATGAAAGATGACATTTTGGGGAAATTTGGATGGGGGCTGTAATTTATGGATCCCTGACTATAAATGTACTTGCTAGGACCTTTAAAATCCAGACCTTCATCTGCCTGAGAGCAGCCTAATCTATTATTCATCAATGATTCTGCTCACATGCCGAGAGGGAACACAAGGGTCCTGGGCTGAACCCAACTCCTCACTGGTGGGGCAGATCTTCATATTAAAATACACACACACGCAAATATACTAAGTACGTAAGAAACCGAATAAAGACAAACAGACAGTCCACTCAGAAATCCTTTTTAAATCCTCTGAAAGTTAGAATTAGTTGTCAGCTGCTTCTCGCCTAATGATGGTTTGACTTACGATATTTTCAACTTTGCGATGATGCGATGGCGATGCACGTCCAGTACTTATCAAACTGTGAACTTTGATCTGTTCCTGGGCTAGTTATATGCCCGGCATCAGTACATTCTACCGATGCCGGGTGACGGCGACGCCGAGATCCACGCAGCCACGCTTCCAGTCTCTCTAGCGATTGCCAGCACAATCATACAGTGTTTAATGACATATCATAATGAAGTAAAGAGTTTTTTTTTTCTACAGAACTATACAATTTACTTTTCAGTTGCTGGTACTTAGCTAGTTACAGTACTTATTTATTCATCATATCAAATTCATATTCAACTTACTATATTTTCAACTTGCGATTATGGTTTATTGGAAGGTAAGTCGAGGAGCATCTGTAGTTTTAAAACTTTATTTACGATGATCAATGGAGTATCAGTGGGTGGCATGGTTGTTATTTGGTAGCACTGGTGTTGGTTCGCATCCCACCTCTGCTCTTTTGCTCTTTGTGTTTGGACTTTGCATGTTCTGCCCATGTTTTATGGCTCTCCTCTGGGGCCTTTGGTTCCATCCCACACTCCAGAGACATGTGCTTTGGCTCACAGGCCTTGTGCCCCATGCTGCTTGGTATGAGCGATGCAGAATAAATGAACGACAGTCTTACTAAGGCTGGGAAAGCTTGGCGCTTTCCTGGGGCGCCGCAGAGGCTTGTTGTTTCGCGACCTTGTCAGATAAGCTGTCCGCTCTGCCGCTGGGACGCACGTCTAAGCTGCCTGTTTGACGTCTTTCCCATCACAATCAAAAGCATCATGCTGCCATACCGCTTATCGTAGGATTTCTGTGGAACGTGACAGATAATTAGTGTCTGTGTGCTACAAGTACGTCTCTGACGCTTCTTCCAACCAGTCAGCCGTGTGCCGTTATGTCGACGTCACGTCGCTGTATCTGTTCGCTGTGTGAGCGTTGCTTCTGGACCATGGTGTTTGTTCTTGCAATGGTGGATGATTAATGTATTCTTGGCACAGTCCCTCCCCCCAGAATACAGGCCTAAATTTCATTGGAGGGTTGGTCTGGAGGAGAAACCTCAAGATCACTATGCTGATCACCCCCACATTCAGGTTGGGGGATTGTTTTGCTTAGGATTCCTCACATCATTACCTGCAGCCTTCCTACCTCAGGAGGTTTACAGTAAAAAAGGCTTGCAGACTAACATTCGTGTCAGTCCACAATTGGGAGCCTCTACATGAAGAAAGACCTCTTCGACTTTCAGGCACCGTGCAGTGAACTGTCTCCTCGACACACAGCTGCGTCTGGGTTCTTCTTGCACTCGTTTCAACACGAGCTTCCACTCCTATCCATGTGATCTCCCTCCTCTCTCCCTCTGTACCTTTACGATGTAGACCTCCTGGCAATGGAACACCAGAGAATGCTGGTACAACTACCCTTACCAGGTAAGGATTCGACCATTTCCCGATCAAAATGTATAAATAATGTATGATATACATGATAAAGTAGAAGTACAGATATTTCAGTTACAGTAATTCGCCTATGTCTGTTATATTAGCCTTAAATAATGCAACAGAAATCTCCCTGGCTGAGGAGAGCACTACTTCTGACATGCTAAATGAAACATACAGGGCAGTATTTGCGTCAGCGACCCAATTTCTAACTACTACTCTGCAGGGGGTCTATGTTTCCCCTCGAGTAGAAGCTGCCGTCACGCTCTGACAGCCCAGCGGGTCGTCCGTCCACCAAGGTATCACAACCTCCTCAGTCCTGAGTCACCTCAGCTCACTCTCTCCATCACTCTCCCCACAGCCACTGACCATGGACATCCATTACTACTACATAGTGGAGCTGTCCTTCTACCTCTCCCTATTGTTCTCCCAGTTCACGGACATCAGGAGGAAGGTAGGAGCCGAAGGGAATGGATTGGAAGGTGCGGTGTGGGCGGGCTGTGGTACCTCACTGTGATTGGTTAGCAAGCATTTTGGAGGGAAAATGCATGAAGCTGATTTATTACTGTAGCAAATTACAACAAATTAAATGATGACCAGCTACACCAAGAAGTCAGAAATTTCTTAATAGTTTCCTCGTTATTTTGACTCGGCATGAGTTAAGTTATACACCAAGTCATACTGAAAATCGCTTTGATTGACGATGTTCAGCAGAAGGGGGCGCATTCGCCCCCCACCCTGCTCTTGTTCCGAGCGGCGTCGCTTTGTGCCAGTGTCGGCTTTTAAATATTTCATCCGATGAAACGGTGTGAAGCATTTTGTCACGAATGTGAAACATTAACAGCAGAGAGTGATAATGACATGGGCCTGAACCAGCAAAATGCGATCCGTTCCCGTTTAATGACATATTTTCGGTATAGTATCCCTGTCAGGGACAAACACCACACATTCATCAGCGCTTGACATGTCACCCGTCTCGACATCGAACCTCCAAGGACGCAGTGTCCTCGATTCCCGGATCTCCTCCCTCCCCGGCACGGTCATCTCACTTCTCTTTGTTGTGAATTATTTTCTCTTCAGAACCCGGTCATGTTCAGTCCCCAATTTGGAGTAGAATACAGGCTCTGAAATTGCTTGTCTGCCTTCCGTGCTCAAGAAAGCATGTAAACTGTATGACATACAGCCTCCTTGCTTAGGATTGGTACAAACCCACACACACACACACACACACACACACAGGCACACACACACACACACGCGCACACACACACACACGTACACACACCCTCAGGCACACACACACATCCCCCTTCCTGGAATTCAGATTGATTTATAGAAGTCCCAGCTCTCCCAACATCAAACCGTACGCTTCCCGAATGCTTCGTAACGTTTGAAGGTGGGGGGTGGGAGTTATTCTCTTTCTGCTTTGAAAGTATCTGCGGTGTAAATTTACAGTCATACTCCACTGTCAGCAGAACCCATGAAAATTAGCACCTTGCAAGTCAAACATACTCAGTAAAACAGCATCTCGGTACATTACATTACAAAAATGTTTTTCCGTCTAAAATGTATATTTTATGATTTGAATCCAAAAAAAAAGCTGCAATCTCTGGACATGCACTGGGAATGTTAATATACAACAGTATATAAAGCTTTGGCCAGTATCTTGTGTTTGTAGTATAATATTATAAAAAGGCCTTATTTAAATCTTCATTTGCTGCAAGGTTTACCAGACTGCTGGTCCATTCTCTTCGGGGTTTTCAGACCCGTACTAAAGCACCATGTGAGCTGACTCCAGATCAGTGTGGTCTTTCAGGAGCCACAGGGCATGTCAGGCTTTACCATTCTCCTCCTCTGCTTTATTTTTCTCTTCACGGTCTGCAGTCTTTGTGTCCTCCTTGGACAGCGGCTCTGTTCCTACTCATTCTTCCCCCATTCCTCACTTCTCAGCTGTCAGTAGATGCCACCATGTTTTTTCTCTCTTTCTTCCTCTTAATCACCTTTGTTGACTTTTGGCATGTTGTCTGTTTTTTTTTCTCCCCTTCTTCTTTCAGTTTTTTCATACACAAAGCCACGCACTGAGGAGAGCTCCTTCATCCCCTGCTCAAGTCCCGTATGTCCTCTGCTCTCTCGCCATCCTTCCATTGTTTTACACCACCTCTCTTCCTCCTCCTCTCCTGCCCGCCTCACTCCCTTGGCCGTCTCGATGCCATCTGCTACAATCTACCAGTGTCCCAGAGCCCTCTAGGGTATTGGTGTAGCCTGGTTCAGACTAGGTTTAAAGCTGTTGTAGTCTCAGTGGAATGGGCCGATTCCGGTATTTTTTTAAGGTTGGCGGCATAAGAAGGGCCGTAATTCATTGAGGGGCCAACTCTGTTATTAGCCAATGATGTTTTGAATTGATGAGTGACAGAGGAGGGGGCAGTCCAGGGGCCAATCAGCTTTTATGTGGGGCCAATTCCCCTGAGGCCACGCCTCTGTATATGCCCCAGCTTAGTGGCGTGTGTGTGTGTGTGTTCTTGTCTTATCCCTCCCTATACAAGCCACATACGACCCAAATGAAGAGAGTGTCTGCCAGAGCTGCCTCTTACTATCTGCAGGACTCATAAATGTATTCTGTGTTTTCTAGAATTTACCTTGGGAAGCGTCTAACATAGGTGCTCATGATATGTCTTAACGGGCAATTAGGGCTGCTTGAACGGATTACGTAGCAGATCCGCTAATCCAGCCGGCTCTTTTCCCAACACACCTTAGGAAAGGATCACAGGAAAACGTGCGGATGTCAATAGCCCCCGGAAAAGGGGGGGGGGGGGGGGGGGGGGGGGGAGGGGGGGGGGGGGGGGGGGGGGGGGGGTCGGGTGCCATCCTGCCGTGGCCCGTATGCCGGTCCGGATTAACTCTGTCTCATTGTTGCCCCCCTGGGGTATAAACAGTGTCAAGTGAAGTGAGTGAATAATGTAAAAATGCTCACAGGAGTGATGTCACCCTAACACTGCAGCAGCTGCAGCCATCCGTGTGTGTAATGCAGACCGGGGGGGTTAAGCAGCATCACACAGAGGTGGGGGGTTGACAGGATGTTGTATGATTCTGCTGGTGGCTCTGGGATGGGACCCAAACTCCCAGTTAGTGCCAGTTTGTCCCAGAAGCTTTCCTCACAGCCCTGCATCCTCCACTCTGGGTTCCTCTCTCAGGAACTTGCTCCTTACAGTTTTGCTGTTCTTACAATATTAAATATAATACGGTACTTTTTGCACATTTTACAATAATCTGACGTTGCCTATACAGATGCCTATAAGATGTCGATTTAAATTTGACAGCCCTGTCACTGACTTCTGGTCACTGTCCCACCCCTCTGGCACCCAGGACTTCCTGATCATGTTCCTGCACCACCTGGTGACCATCTCCCTCATCACCTTCTCCTATGTGAACAACATGGCTCGGGTGGGGACTCTGGTCATATGCCTTCATGATGCTGCCGACGTCTTGATGGAGGTGAGAGCGGGAGAGTGACCCAACACCCCCTGCGGGCCTTCTAGTATAATGCTCTTTTCTTGATTAATTCTTCTGGAAGGTTCATCCACGATGTCACTGAATAAATTAAAAAGAGATTAAAAATATAGCCTGACAGTCTGGCGTGTGCTCGACACATAAATAATGTAGCTTACAGGGTTGCCAGCTGTCTGACAGCGAGCCCCCAACTCGAATCGGAAAGCTCCCACTACAGATACTGAGATATACACAAAATTTTGCACCAAGTAAGCGCACAAATTTGGCAGCCTCCATAAAATAACAGCTCATAATGAATAATATTTACATGTTTTTATCCTGCGTGCTTCGATATATTCACTTATGCGTTACGATGACGTAGTCGTTTTTATTTCTTTGCAGGCCGCTAAAATGGCCAACTATGCGAAGTGCCAGAGACTCTGCAACGTGATTTTCGTCATGTTTGCGCTGGTCTTTATCAGTTCCAGGCTGGGTGTTTATCCCATTTGGTAAGTCTGATAGAAGATTCCCACCGTCTTCACACAGTCTCCATCAGATTGTCGTTAGAGGTTTTTTTCTTTTCTTTTTTTTAATCGTATGAATTTCTGTTTCATTTGTGGTCTCGTATATCTGACAGTGATAAAATTGATTTCCACCCTCAGTCAAAGCAGGCTTGTTGACAGCCGCTTCCTATCATATGTGTATAATTGTTCTATATACGTTGCTGTTTTAGGTGGAATAGAGTTGTATTTATTTTTATTCCGCTATATGAGCGACTTCCTTCAATCGTGGCAAAGCACCCAGTAATCGTAACCATAGCTACAGCAGTGGTTTTTATTTATTTAATCCATACTTAAACCGTATGATTTGCAAAGAGTGTTTTAGAAAGCCTGGGTGTTTGCGAGAGCTGATTAATAGCGGTTAGTTGACATCGGTAAGTTAGATGTTAGCCGTAGCAGAGAGAAAGATGATATCCGGTAACAGATCAACCAGCCTGAGTGGTAACGGTACAAGTCTTCATTTTGGGGTCCTATATTAAGTTAAGCAGGTGTCCAGGTTGCAGAAGCTCCATTTGTTTTTCAGTTCCTGAGCTTTTTTTGGGGCCTCGCTGCAAGACTGCAGACAAGCAGTGATCAGAATTGCTTACTAAGCACCAGAGGGTCCAGCTTTGGCACTTTGGTGCAGCAACAAGCGCCAGGACAGAGCTGGGCTCTGAGGCCAGGGAGAGAGGCTTGGCATGGGGCCCGGCCCTGAGACTGGGCCCGGCTGCGAGTGCCACTTCGGGGAAGATCCCCAAGACCGAGCCTGCTGGCCCGTCAGCAAGTAGCCAGGCTGAGCCTTGGTTAGCCGAGCCGCTGAAAAGTGCTGTGCCTGTCCAGTCAGCCATGTTTGGGGCCACGGGGCCCCGGGGCCAATTCTGACAGGCTGGTCGTGCTGCGAAATGTACAGAGAAGCCACCGGAAAGGGGAAGGGTTTGGGGGGGGGGGGCGTGTGTAAAAATAGGCTGTGAGTCAGAGGCAGGAGAGTACTGGAGCCTCTCATGTCCGATGCCCTCCTGGTAGCCGCTCCAGGTTCCTGCTGCTGGGAGCGGCCTTGTGTTCCTCGCCGCGTTCCTACTACCGCTCAGATTCTGTTCCTTAAGTTCCGGCTTGTGCGCTTCTGAACGGGGATGATGTCATGGCGCAGTTGGGGTAATATGGGGTTTGGATTATAGGAATGTGATTATCAGACTCCTTTGGAGGCTGGTGGGCCGGTGATTCTGTAACTAAGAGGAGCATCGTGAAATGGTGGCATTAAGTCATGGTCATGTTCAGACCTAGACTCCATCGTCTGAGTGCGGGGATGGCGAGAGCTGCAATGTCATTCCAAGAACATCCACCTACAATCCATTTCTTGTTGAACGGTAAGATTTCTAAGGATATCTGAGGTTTTTTCGCCTAAACTCTGCTTCCACCTGGGTTCATATTCTTCATAATAGCCACCATCACGCTGCTGCTGTAAACCAGTTGCCATGGCGCTGACCTCCCCTTAAGGACTCGCTACTCTTGCATAATGTAAAAAAAAAATCTTATTTTAGTCCTGAAATAGATTTGTCTTCTCTCTCTCTCTCGCTCACTCTCTCTGGTGATAGAATCACAAAGCGAGAGGCTTTACTTTGTATCTCTCTGAACCGTTTGAGGTCGGGAGGTTTCTGAATAATTGCCAGAGATGCCGCTGTCAGGCAGCTCGTGAGAAAACGTGCCTGACACATCACGCTTGCTGAACTTTAACGCCTTCGCGTTTCAGTCAGAGTTTAAAGGAATGGTAGCAGTTTGATACACATTGCTGTCTGAACCAGAAGATTTTGCTGTAGTCTTATGTGTGCAAGTAATGAATAGCAAACAGGCAATGGCGTAGGAGAGGGGGGGCACGACTTAATAATTTAAATAGAAAGGTATTTTTATAGGGTGGATGAATGAATCAAAATTAAATATTGCGGAGTACATGTCCCCCCTGTTCCTACACCCCTGTAAACAGATAAGAGGATGTAGGAGCTGAATTTAAATTAAAACTCAGTTATTTCAGTCAGCCATTTTATTTTATAGCCTTTCCACCAGATAGTACATTATAGTATTTCCAAAAACACTGAAGGGCCATTAAATGGGAGTAAATTGCAAATGATTCCCTGACACTTTCTCAGCAGATGATGGAGTAGCTACAAATGAGCCTCTGACATATCACGTGTGCAAATGTATATGATACATGTTTATGAGAGTGAACACTGAGGTGCAACAGGCAGTGGTACAGAGGGGGGTGTATACAAGGGTGGGGCAAATGGGGCATTGACCTCAGCTGAAAGCTGATTAGTCCCCAGGGTACCCCCTCCCCATCACACACAGATTCAAAACATTTCATTGGCTAAGGTTGGCTCTCTTTATGAATTATGGCCCCTCCTATCCCCCCCCCCCTAAAAAAAATCTTAGAATGGCCCCTGCTGTAGGTGGCCATTGGGGCAGCTGGATACGGAGGGGGTAGGAGTTTGGTTTCACTTCTGCCCTATGCATTGTTTAACACGTCTGCACCGTCTACGAGGAACTAAGAGTATTTCACTGCGGAGGAATTTCCAGCCACTGCCAGTGTTACAGCCAGTGACCCATGAAGTGTTACCTTCACTGCCCTGCTGGATCTATTTTTTAGTTTTCATTTACGATTTGTGATTATCCAGGCAGTTTTTTTGTGTCAAGGGGCTTTTTTATATGGAGAGAAGTGTTGGGGAGTCTCACTTTATAGCAGTGTGGCCCCCCCACACCAACAGGTGGTAGGTTTGATTCCTGAATCCAGCTATGCGTGTGATGGAGTTTGCATAGAGGTTTGTCCCATAGTCCAGAAACACGGAATTTGTGCCTGTAAATTTCCTGGATCAAGTGTATCGTAGACTCACTTCTGATGGATGGATGGATGAACTAGCCTTAAAGTGTTTCCCTTGCTTCCTGAAATAGACTCATTGCTTTTTTTTTGACAAAGTAGATCTCTGTGTGACCTTAAATGCCTCTTTATACCAGTCTGTGTTTTCCCAGTTGACCCCGGTCTCTCTCCCTCTTGTGAGGCAGGATTTTAAACAGCACGCTGTTTGAAAGCTGGGAGATCGTGGGCCCGTTCCCATCCTGGTGGGTCTTCAATGTTCTGCTGCTCCTACTGCTCCTGCTGCACTCATTCTGGTCCTACCTGATCGTGAGGATCGCCTGCAGGGCCGTGTCCCGGGGAAAGGTGAGGGAACTGGCCTCCTCTCGCTGCACCTCCTACTCTAGGCCTAGGACCAGCGTTTCTCCAATCAAGCTGAGCACTGGGGAAGACTAGAGATCTTTGATGGTTTAGATGGTTTAGCCTCAGGAGCCACATTCTCCCTTGATTATTTCACAAAAATTAGTGCAGTAATAGTGAATAGGACATAGTGGAGTGACAGTAACACAATGCCTTCATGCACAAAAGAAGAAAATCCAACAGAAACCAATTTCAAAATATTTTAACCACACACTTCACCACTCAAAGAAAATGGTCACCAATTGAGAAATGGCGGCTCAGAGAATTATTAAAAATATAGGATTTGTTGCACCATAAGCGGTACAGCTATTAGCTGCCTTCAGAGGGGGTTGGTTATTTACTTCACTGTCTTTGTTCCTTCTTGGTCTTGCCGTATATACAGTATATATATATATTTTCTTTCTCATCTTACTTCTTCCTGCCCTTCCTTTTTGCTCCTCCAAAGGCGGGGAAATGGAACCCTTTGCATGTAAGTAGGGTGGGGAGGTGAGACTTGGGGGGTCAAATGTGACCCCTGGTCATCATGATGCCGGATGCCATTGTCAGCTTTTACTCATACGGGTTACTTTTCTGCCTCCGAACTTCTGTTTCTGTCACCACTTTTGCTCACATTTGTTTTTTTTTCCCTCTTCTCCTACATGTACAGTGGATATAAAAAGTGTACACACCCCTGTTAAAATGGCAGGGTTTGTGTGATGTAAGAGAGACCACCTTTAATGTGACCTATAAACTGCACGATTCAATAGAAAAACAAACACATTTGTTTAGGAGGAAAAAAGAAAAGATTAAAAAAACGTACAATAAGCTGGTTGTATAACTCAGCACACCGTAATACTTTCTAGAATCACCTTTCAATTTACACTGCCTATAAAAAGTATTCACCCCCTTGGATGTTTGACTTTTTTGACAAAAAAAAAATTATAATTCAAAACCCCCCCTTTAACGTTGCCCCCACCATGGTATGCTGTTCTTTTGCTGATGCGCAGTGTTTTTACGCCAAACATACCTTCCAAATCAAAAGGTGCTTCAACAAAGTATTAGTTTATAGGTGTGCAAACCTATGCAGCCAGCTTATTGTTTTTATTTTCCCCCCTAACAGCTTTGTTTGTTTTTCAATAGAATTGTACAGGTTATAGGTCACAGTGAAGGGTGGGAATGAAATGATTTATCATGGTCTCATTTTTTTTTACATCACTAAAACCTGCCATTTTAACAAGGGTGTTTACACTTTTTATATCCACTGTAGGGGCATCACAGCTACTGGTTTATTTTGTTTTCTACATTTTTTTAAGTAAAATTCATGTAGCTGGTAGCATAAGGTTCCATGCAAACCTATAATTTTCCAATTTTATTCTATTTGTCTTCCAAAGCAGAATGCAAATTGGACTGCAAATTTCTAAAACTGATCCAGTCCACCAAATACGTTTTTGAGAATTTCTTTTGACTGAGTGAATTTTAGAAATGTTATAATTCGTTGGGTTACATGAGGACTGAGTGAGTTTTGGTTCCCAGTAGTGTAACACGTGACGTGGAAGCCTGACTTGAGGTCAATGGCAACAAAAACTGGGCTCAGTGAGTTTTGGAAATTTACTCTTGAATTAAAACTCCATTAAGATCTCACATCAGCATCATCAGCATGGCTCCTGCTAGTTACATCCCTGTGTTGTGGACTTTTGCTCTTCTCACTGTTGTAACGTGTCTTCCCAGGTGTCCAAAGATGACCGAAGTGACATAGAGTCCAGCTCCGATGAGGAGGAAGGCTCTCCCCCGACACAGAAACTCCATAACAGTGCCACCAACGGCACCAGCGGGGCCAACGGGACCAACGGTTATCTGTCGGGGCCGTCGTGTCGGGACGAACACTGACCAGGCCAGATCTGGACTTTTCGGCCACCATACAGATGTCTCTGACACCATTTATAGATACATGTATGTAAGACCTGAATCTGATTGGCTGTCTGATACTGGAAGTCCTTGATATGATCTATGATTTTTTTCCCCACACTGATTTCTTTGGTTTACTTCTTTTCATATATATCTGCGGCAAAAGGCAGTCAATGACAATTCCATATTGACAATGGTAAAGCATTCTTTTCGTAAATGGAAAAAAAAATTGAATGAATGAAAGAACGGAAATGGAAATTTCACCTTCTGTTGTTAGCATGCCATGTATTTGTAGTTTATCTTAAAGGGAGTACTTTTTTTCCCACGTTCAAGTCTTTGTACTTTATTTTTTTGTGTACTTGTTGTGGACAAAGGGATTTTTGCTACCTTTTAATGAATTAGGTAATCAGTGTTTAATCTGCTAAGTTGTGATTCAGCTGCTGCTGTCACTGGCTTCTGACATCTTTCAGAGCTGTTCATCCACGTTATAATCGCCCTGCGATCTTGTCTGTTCTGTCCGTGGGCAGTGACGTCAGGTCTCTCACATGCCTCCGACATATGTCTCCATGCCAGCGAGACGATGTATACCAGTATTACGCGTGTCGGCGGCTTAACAGCGTACAAATATTTGGCCATGGTGTAATTGGGGGTATATGCAAATTTCACTTTGTAGTTGGTGCATATTTTATTCAATGAACGTGCCATTTAATAGAGGAACTGCACTAATCAAACATTTCCAGCTGGAATGGACATGAAATGCCATCTTAAAAAATAAAATTGTCTCATTGCCTTTAGTTGACATCGTTAAACATTTAGGCTAGCTTGTTTTTCATAAGGTATAGTATTAGCTGTTAAATGAAAATTCATAATTAAATTGTTTTTGAAAGTTACCAAAAACTGCCAGTGTTTGAAATGCAGCAGTAATGCATGCATAGGTTACAGGCGATCGCGATTAAGGGTGTTTTTGGTGGTGTTGCCGTGTGGGATGTAGGCTTACTGATCCGCTATAAACGAAAGATTGTCGTCGACACACATACGGTAAACGCAGAAACCTCCGTGAATAAAGGTACGGTGCTCAGCAGTTAAGTTTCTGTCATGGAACAAGCACTTTACTGGGACAAATATCTGAATGATATGATGAAAGTTTCTGTGTAGAGACGTATTTGGGTTTTGACGACTTTAGGTTTAAATTGTGGGGATTATAGGCCTATGAGCAATCTACAACTAAAATATCCACACAGCCCTCAAAAACATTACATGTCTTTTAAGAATAAAAGCTAACTTCAGTTTTCCAGCTGCTCCTCATCTTTCCATTAATTTTTTTATTATTAATTATTATTTGTGCAGCGATAGTATGATGTCAACATTGAAAGCAGATCATTTTCAATGGTGCACATTCAGGTGCCTTAACATTACCCCCTCGTGGAGTCAGTGATTTATCCTCTCCAGTCCATTACTTACAGAAATACAATGAACTGTCCAGCAAAAGGTTTGAGTGAAGTAACTACAATGCCTTTACTTTTAAATACACCCCCAGTTTACATGCACAAGCGGTGCCATGCCGCACCAGTCAGTATTGTGGATTGCTTGGTTTCTTAGCTTAACACGCAAATTTAAGTTTTGAGGCGGTACAAATAAAAATGTGGCTTTGTATTGAAGAAAGATCTTGAACAAAATGCTGTGATATATCCTTTCCTTTGGACGGCGATGGCTTTGCATTCCGACGCCAAATGGTGCCCCTGTAAAGCTCTGCTTTTTGTTGCAATGTGTTATTTCTCAGTTTCATGTATCCGTGGCAAGATGAATGTTTTTTTTTTTTTTTTCTGCATTCAGTTCATAAAGCTGCAATTGACCAAACGGAGTCTACGCCGTACCTCTAAGGGTACAACTGCAATGCTCTGCCTTGGACGCAAAAGCCAGCAGCGTCTGGTGCGAAATCCTTTGCTCTCGCCGCCGCACCACGACGTTTTCAGCTCCTGTTAAGAGTGTTACACTTACACATGGGGAATATATATTTTTTTTTTTATGTGAGCAATTGTAGGAAAATGGATTTCAAGTGTAAAGTGATATGCTGGGAAAGCAGATTGTGTTTGCTTTAGGATTTATTTATTGGTAACTTGTAATAAATGCAGAACTTAAAAGTCTGGCCTCCGTTTGCTTTTGAGATTCAACAAAATGAATGATACTGTGTATCACTAAGTGCTAGAATCTTCAAGACACTACTGTAGTTTCATGGTCATAATGGCACTGTACTGGTGTTTGAATATGTCTTTCCTCCTGTATCTTCCATTCAGGAATCCATCCATCGATCTTCCAACTGCTTAGGCAGGATAGTGTCACAGTGAGCCTGGAGCTACTACTGTGCAGAACCTAATAACAGGAAACTCTTAGTAGGACAAACACAGCTGTGGCAGTTTATAGTCTCGCAGATGTTCCCCAACTAACACAGATTTGATCTTAGAAGACATGAGACCTCAGATGGAATGTAGACACGCAAAACGTGGAATCTCCCAGTTCCGTTTCAAGCAGAGTGTGGCAGCAGTGCATGTCACACCCTGCTTTCGTCATTTGGGTGGGACCAACTTTCCCACTGAGAGGGCAGAAACAAGCAGAGCAATTCATGAGGAAAACTGCAACTGCAGAAGTCTGGGATGATTCTGGTAGCTAGCAGCTTAACCACAAAAAGGTTCATTCTGACCAAGTTAATTTATAGTGAATTTCCGACTCTGTTAAGTTATTAATTGGGGGAATGAACACAAGCCGTCATGTTGTCATAAGTGTTTGTTTCACTTGGATTGAGGAGAATTATTTCTGTACATCGAATATAACCTGTGATGTAAAGTCTGCACGACTTCAGGGTAATATACCAAAAACAATCCTATGTGCAAGTGTTTCCAAAATTCTAACACACAACACTCTTTTGTGTTTGTGATAAGTGCTTGTGGAAATAAAAATGTCATAACGGAAGCAATACAGCTACTCTAAGTATCTTTGTAAAGACATAAGTATGTTTGACCTGGCTTTCTTTTCAATGTATAATCATAGTTGTTGCATCTTTCTTTTCAACGAACAGTCATCATTGTTGCATGTCTTATTTATAATCTGTCTATATACAGTACTGTGTGAGTTTTTGGCAGCCAAATTTTGCCATTTCAAAACCTTTGCTAAAATAGCCTAAGTGTTTGCAGCATCCAATGCACTCATGTATATTTTGACACAACCACTAGCTTACCTCAAATAGCTAATATTTCATTGACTTTTTAACTAATGAAATCAGTTAAGTGAGCTGGTGGTGAAATTTAACAAATGCATGGAATGGCTGAGGTGCCCCTGAGGAGGTTTGGGACCTGAAGTGGTGTCCATCTAGCCGTCCAACTAGATATCAGTGATGTTTTGAAGAACAGAAATGTACTAGTTTTTATTGTGTTGCTCTTCATTTGCACATGTTCTAATGCGAAATTGTGTTTATGTTCTGAGCAAAAATGCACTTACTACCCAGATAAATAGCTCTAAACATTTCTTTTGACTGCCTAAGACTTGCACAGCACTGTACATACATGTAATGTATATCAATTTTGTTATGGTTGAAGGTTATGTGACTAATATTAAGTACAAACAGGTTTTTGGCACTTTTTCCAAGGACCGTGGTTAAGATTTGTTTTAGTTTAATATAATTCCCATTTAACAGCTGGCAAATCACAAGGGTTTCTTCAGGTCTGTGTCCATCTGCAGCTGTAACACACTGGAATGATTCGGATATTCCTCCCTAGCTTCATGCTGCTGCCTATCATCTGGCCAATTATCACATTTAATGAGCACAGCATAGCAACCAGTAATATCACTATGGTCAACAGCAACAGCAAAAAATGGAAATACATAAACAATCAGTTTGTCAACTGGTAAATAATTGTTTGGAACTGTCATGTTCTTTATTAGCTTACTATTATTATTTACTATTGATAACATTTAATATTTAATGTTGTATGAGGACTGTTGTCTGTGAGATGTTTTTGTTTGATTGTCATCTTATAAACAACTAGCTGCTTGTTATGTCACTGCAAGCACGTAGCCAAAACAGTAAGTGTGAATTTAAACGGCCGATAAACCTCATTCGTTCATTCAATACGATTCATACGTTTGTTATGTTTCAAGGACTGCTGTGTGAATTTTCCAGCCAGGATAGACCACTCCATTATCAGTAAAAGCAAAAGTTCACAATCACTTCATACCAGAAAGATAACATCACCGTTCAATTGTTTGATTTAACAGAAGGTCTTAGAGTCTATATATGTCAGTCTTTTGAAAGTAGCAATTGATGTTTAAGTTCTGAAATATGTTTGGGACTTAAAACGTTATGTTTCGTAATGGAACGCGATCCGATTGCGACCATCCGCCGTTAAAGCGATGTATTGCCTACAATCTGTGCTGACAGGGTTAGTGCATCAGTTTTGGGTGATGTAAAGAATGGGCAAACTTTGGAAGGGCAATATAAGCTGTTAGGAGCTATTTAATAGGCAACCTGTGATGAACAGAGCAGTCTGACAGGGGTGAAAAGGATAATGGCACACTGCATTTTGCTGTTTTTAAGGTTAGAAACGGATTCAAAATTGGCTTTTGGCTATCAAATGACAGACGGGAATACGAAAACATTGCCAGGGGCTGGGATGAGGTGGTGGTGGTGGTGGGGGGGGGGGTCGACACATTAATGTAGGAGGTTCTAGAAGGTTTTGAAATAAGATTCGAATAGTCCAGAAGAGAGAAACAGGTCCAAGGACAGAAGATACATGCAGCATGCTGTGGTTAACGTAAAGCTATGATCTGCTCATCCTGGTAACCATGGTTACATTCTAGGTAGGGGGGAGTTGCAGCTAATGCCCAGCTTCTTGGCAGTTTTGGAGGCAAAAACAGTCGCGCCATGAATAAGAATGGACAGGTCAATATTCTCCAGGAATGTGGGAGGACTTCGCCTTTGGTAGGTTAGTGCTTTGTATGACCCTAGTGGGCGGGATGGGATGGGGGCTGGTGTAAATCAGCAGAAACAGTCAAAGCCAACACGAGTAATCAGAGCTGGTGCAACATTTCAAACTTTCATTTAGTTTCTTGCACAATTTAGAGTTGTGAGTGGGGGGCAGTCGGGGGTCCCCCTGGGTAAGTTTTGCAGTAGGCCCCCTGTCATAGTGGGACCCGGGGCGGCTGCGCCTCTGTCCCGCACCTAATCCGCTAATCAGGTTATGTTATGTTAGTGGACGTGTTGCTGTTTTTTGTTTTCCCTTGTTAGGTTTTATTTTAGAAACAAAACTTTACGTTTTGTAATAACCAGGGCTTATTAGTAAACAAGGGCATTTAGTATGACAAAAGACTGCATACACTGTGGGTGGTAAGACGGGGAGTTTAGTGGTCTGGTGTAAGCGACATTATTTAACCACTCACGCCGTTCTGGCGCAGACTGACCAACATTATAATGTGTTAAAGCGACCTCTGCTGGTCAAATTAGATTTATTCCTCACAATTCCGCTATAAATCCGTCGTCAATTAATTCTCGCCTCAGTCTGGTTTCTTTCCATAGCCCCAAAATATCAATCCACCTCCCAATCTCCCACCAGCACCAGAGTTCCAGGGGCTTAGGGCGAAGTGATGTTCCTAAATTCGCCAGAGTGTAATTATATCTCTGAGTATGTTCTGACAAATTATGATAAAGGTTCTTATTTATGGAGGCGTGGTGGTTCGGTGATCAGCAGCATCACCTGACAGGCTGCTATGTGGGATTCCAACCAAAGACATGCAGCTATATGTGTGTATAGATATTTAACAAATGTACAACTTAATTACTAATTTTACATATTTTAATTATTAATTATGTAAATCAGATTACATTTTGTTTTTAGTTAGCCCAGTGTAGTACACTAAAGGGATGTGCAGTAAATTACATGCTACAGATGATGTATACCGCATGCAGAGTTATTAAGTGTGAATTTTGCTGCATCGTCCGATGGATATTTTCAGTCTAGATTCATCGGCGACTAAGAATGGACAGTTTATAAATATAGCATGCTCGCTATTTGGGCTGAGTGCTTTTTGTTCGGACTACAAGAAACTGTAGATACTTCCCAGTGCAGAATTATTAAGCAAATTATTAAGGCCAAAGGGATCTTACAGGGAGCAGAAAAAAACAAACAAAATAGTAAAGTGCCAGTCTGAGGGATGCAAAACAACAGAAATTTCCAAACTTTTAAAATGTGATCACCATACAATGAACCTTTGGATTTAATAACTGGTTGACCCTCCTTTGGCAGCAATGATCTCAACCAGGCGCTTCCTGTAACTGCAGGTTAGACCTGCACATCATGCAGGGGGAATTCTTGCCCATTCTTCCCTGCAGAACGGCCTTAACTCTTCCATATTCTTTGGTTGTCTTCTGTGTATGGCTCTCTTCAATTCATTCCACAGCATCTTAATAGGATTGAGATCTGGGCTCTGACTGGGCCACTCCAAAGGCAGATTTTGTTCTTCTGAAACCATTGTGCTGTGGATTTGCTGCGATGTTTGTGGTCATTGTCCTGTTCCATCACCCAGCCTCTTCTGAGCTTCAGTTGATGGACAGACACCTTCACATTATCCTGGATAATTTGTTGATGAATTGGGAATTCATCTTCCCCTCAATGATGGCAAGCTGTACAGGTCCTGAAGCAGCAAAGCAGGCCCAAATCAGGATGTTCCCTTTACCATACTTTACTGTAGGGATGATGTTTTGATGTTGATATGCAGTGCCCTTTTTACGCCAAAAAGTTCTGCTTGTTCCTCCCAAATAGTTCAATTTTGGTTTCTTCACTTCAGAAAACATTTTCCCAGGACCATTGTGGAGTGTCCAAGTGCTCTATTGCAAACTTCAGGTATGCAGCAATGTTCTCTTTGACAGCAGTGGCTTCCTCCTTGGTGTCTTGCCATGGACTCCTTTCTTGTTCAGTATTGTTAAATCATGAACAGAGATGTTACCCAGTTCTAATGACTTCCTCATGTCATTCGCTGTCACTCTAGGGTTCTTCTTTACCTCGCTGATGACTTTGCATTGTGCTCTTGGGGTCGTCTTGGTAGGGCACCCACTTCTAGGCAGAGTGGCCATAATACCAAATTGTCTCCATTTATAACAACTTGCTTAACAGTAGACTGATGACTATCTAAAGTATTTCCCCTGCTGTTCCCCTCCTGTTGGAGTTCTTGGTTTTGTCTGTCCAGTCCCATGGTTTTCGTTAGTGGTTTCCCTGTCCGGTTCTGCGTCTTAGTCCTGTCCAGCCGTCCTCTGTGGCCCTGGCATTGCCCTTGCACGCGCCCGGTGTTTGCGCATTAGGTGAAAGGTAATGACAGAGCCGGCACCTGTTTGTCCCAGTCTTTCGTGTCCCCTCCCCTTTTGGCCAGCAGGTGTCGCTGGCCATCCTGCCCTCCTTTGTCAGCCTTTGTGGTTCTCCTGCTCCTCTTTGGCCGCATGGCTCGAGTTGAGCATGCAGCTGCCTATAAACCCCTGTTACATGTTCAGATCCTGCCTCTGTTTTTGTAGATTTTGTTCCCTAGTCTTTCATTTGTATCAATTTTCTAGTTCCTGTGTTTCATGACTTGTATACTGTTTGGTTTTTTTGCTTTGCCTTGGTTCTGTTTTACCTGCCTTCATTATATACCCCAGTGTTTGGATTCTGTTCCCTTGTTTCTGTCAGGTTCTTAGTTTCCCCTTCTAGTTCCTTGATTTAAGTATTAGTTTCCTAATAACACAGTGTCCTGTGTTAGTCTTGTTATCCCTCAGTATTTAAGTTCCTGCCTCAGTTCAGTTCCTTAGTAGTTTATTGTATGTTGGTAAGTTGTGTATTCAGAGTTAGTAGTTTCCTGGTGTTTTATTTTTGCATTTTGTTCCCTGTCTACGTGCTCTTTGTCGCCCTGACCTTTTTGTAGTTAGTCTGTTTTTCCTATTTTGCTTTTTGGCCCCCCGTGGTCCATTGTTTTGTAGTTTCCTTAGTGTTTCAGTTGTTAATAACTCATGGGAGCACAAGGTGGGTTTGTCAGTGGGTTGTCATCTCCTTTCCCTGCCTGTGACCCCCCCGTGCCTGAACCACCCGCAGTCATGACACTTCAGGAATAGTGCTTGCTTGATAATTCTCCACTTAGTGTAATTTTCTACACATGTAACATGTAAAATACAGTGCCTGACAAAAGTCTTGTCGCTTAACCAAGTTGTAGGAACAACAAATAATAACTTGACCTGTAGTTAATCAGTTGGAATCAGAAATGGCTTATAAGAAAAGGCAAAGCCCTCTAGATTATGCTTATTATACCAAAATAAAGTTTTGCATCATTCATTGAGTTTTGTCATGGAATTAGGACAAAAGTCTTGTCACATAAGGACGTAACTTAAAAAGGCATATAACTTTATTTCTAATCAATCAATTGTTACAATGAATGGATCA